GCCGAGGAGATCCAGAGAATTCAGGAAAAGGAAGCCTAAATATGAAAGTGACATTTCAGTCTGTCTATACTAACAAAGCATCAATACAACCTTGAAAAAGCATCACGTACGAGGAAAGGATAAAGATGATAAAAAGAAAAATGAGAACTACAATGAATACTCAAATAGGAAAAGGGGGCTTTAAGTCCCTACAGACCCATCGCCTCGCCCTGTCTATATCTCGATTACAGGAAACTCCAAAATCTCAGAATCTTAAATGATAGCACATTTGTTGTTTCTAGTGTTTCCAGATTCATAGTAGTTTACAAAGGGGCATTAGGATTCCAAACTGTTTTCACACATCGAGACCCCTTGCACATCCCTCGTGTTCCTCAAGGCCCCGTATTTTCCCGCCGTTTAGGAAACACTCGCGCCTAAGAACTTATAATGAGGCGCTGCTCGCAGACCATGGTAAATCCGACGACATTCCATGGTGAACTAGTGATTTACCAAACTTTTCGGTTCGTGCTTAGTCCCTAGTAATTTAGAGCGGATGCAAATTCCACAAAAACCGTCCTTGTCTTCGTTCGAATTGTGATGAAGTAAACACTCATGACATTCTTCTAAGAGCTCGAGAGTGTTCGTATTTTTCCTACAGGCCACCGAACACGATAGTGCAGGATATCGAAGCTGGGGAAGGTTTTTGTGGCTGGTGTCTCTACCTGAGTGTAGTGAAGGTTACCCCATGACGTGAGGGGTAGAACACTCTGAGCAAAAGCACAGACAAGGCAGCGAAGAATCGTTCCTTAACCTTTGAAGTAATCGGATGCAAAGCCAAGGTCTACGCCAAAAGAGATTTTCATGGATTTTAAAATTCTTACCGCATTTATTGCTTTTAAGGTACTAGGATTCAAATGTTTACACTAGAGGGGAATGATTAGGAATCTCAACTGTTTTCGCACACCTACAAATCCGTTGACATTCCCCGGTGACCTGATTTTCAGCTTAACTGTTGTCCCAAAATAGTTTAGAATAGATCCACAGGTAACAACAACTGCTTCGGTTCGACGTGTAATACAAAATTTACGTAGCACTGATACTATAAAGAAATTAAAAATTTTAAAATTCTTACAGCATTTATTTATTATTTTTAAGGTACTGGGATTCATAGATGTTTACACTAAAGGGGGATGATCAGGAAGCTCAACTGTTCACACACATCTATAAATCCGGTGGCATTCCCAGGCGAACTGATTTTTCAGCTCGAATGTCGTCCTAGAATAGTTTAAAATGGATCCACAGGCAACAACAACTGTCTTGGTTCGATATCTGATACAGAATTTACATAGCACTAATACAAAAAGACATTCTCAAAGGCGCTTTATATTCAGTGATATTCATTAACTGATAGTTTTCCTAGATATAAATGTTTTAAGTTATTTTTATTAAACGGCGAGGCTGCTACAAATTCGGATCTATGATACAGCGAGTTGCAAAAAACAGGAGTAGCAAAGATGAAGGCCTGCTGGATCCCCAAATGTAGAGCAGATGACTTGTGGAACGCACAGAAGATTGTTTCTAAGAGCGGAGAGCATAACTTGGACAGAAGATCTTTCTTGTAGAGTGAACTTACGTTGTTGAAAGACTTAAACAAAAAGAGACAATTTAAACTGAATGTCACACTAGGCCGATGAAGGTCGATAAGAGTTGTGATATGATCAAATTTTTTAATCTGAAAAAGTCGCGGCGTTCTGAACCTCATGGAAAGGAGTAAGAGCAACGAACTATTTGGACTCTTCCTTAAAGAAACCATAAATAATAGATCGCAATAGAGTAAAGTCTTCAAGCCCCTCAAACGATAGAAAAGATATTTTCAATCGGTATCTATATCTATCCTTTGAGTAAGGGAAAGGCATAAAAACGAAGAAGAAAAATAAAAAAACGTTAAGATTTGAGATAAAATCGTTTGCACTACAAATAACCAAATTTTAGTGTATTCGAAAGCTAAGTATGGCAAAATCTCCGAAATCGCGGCAAAACCAGAATGTCTTTCTTACAGACTCGTTTATTGATGTGTGAAGGGAATAACGAATCCGGTGATTAAAAACCTCCCGAAGTGGTGACGAAGCTTGAAAATCTGCTTCAGTGTAGACCTATTCGCTGAATAACAGATCATAATTGAGTATTCATTATTTAAGAACCAAATGGTTGATTGGAGAGATTGAAAGAAACAATTAAACAACAAAAAAAATTCACTAAACGAACAATCAAGCGAAGAATTAATTTTGATCGACTTAAAATCCTCCACAGCGCCAATAAGAAATATAAAAAAATTTACCCGTGAAAAGAAGATAAGAAAATTTGGTCCCTCTGTTTCACAAATACACTCTGCGAAAACACTCGTGACGCACTAAAAAGAGGATGTTAGCACTGCCAGATATTTGAGAGCTTTTGTCTCCGTTGCCACCTCATTTCCTGTGACCAACTATCAAAAGTTAAATACCGACCAATATATTAATGACATCTTTCGATTCATAGACGATCACCGCGGCTATCAATATCACAAATATTATTCCTGTGGCATTTTAGAAACACGCCGCTTGAAAAACTATTGCAAAACAAATTTTCCAACATGTAGGAAAAACATGGTAAACTTGTTTTGACGCAGTATTTGCAACAACATATATTTGCTCCATCATAATATCATATCTCATATCATAGCTATCATAATTATAAACTCAGTCATCTTAAATTATTTAAAACTAGCTCGGGAAAGTCTTAATTAGGAAAGATCATTTTTAGCTACCGAGCTCGAGGTCTGTACTCGCTCTTAATTACGGACCTATTTTTTCCCCCGAAGATCCATAACCTAAAGACAGGTTAGGAGGAGGATTTCTAGTCACGCGCAACGCCAGGCCTGAAATCACTAACGCACGTGGAAACAGAAAAAATAAATTCAAAATCGTCGCTCAGTCTTAAGCCTAAGAAAACAAACGACTTGACCTTCGTGTGCCAAGTTGCGAAAATTGTGCATAAATTAATGAGAGATTCGGCAAAGCTAGTGGGAAGCATGGCTGACTAAAGCAGTTAAATTGACCATGGAATCAAAGGGTGTGTGGTGACTGAAAAATTTAAGTCGATATATCGTTGGATAGAGTTGGTTGCTTAATTAAGAGGAGGTGGGGAATTGAAATAGACGGGGCATATCAGAGAGGTTCGAGTTAAATAACTGATCCTTCACTTTTTTTTTCTACTCCCGGAACAGGCTGAGATCTCAGTGTGACTCTTGAGTTCCTAGGATGTGAATCGTACTTTGCCCTTCAAGCTCCAGAACACTCATGCACCTCAATAGTCAAATAGTTAAGGGAATAAGCCGATGTGCTTACTTAATTGTAAAACTCTTTGGTGCGTATTGTATTGATATTGTAAAGAGAAAATAGATATTAATTGCTCCAGAGAGAGAAGGATATCAAAAAGCATGAGCTATTATGCGTACAAGCAAGTCGATTTCCTCCCAACCCCACCCCTAAAGAGTGATCAAAGAAAGCGAGACTCTGAAGGGAGGGCGCAAGTGCAATCGTTTGACCCCTGCGCTTGTTCCTTAACCGTAACTACTTTTATCATATAAACTACGGTGTTATACAAGGATTTCCAGCCCTGAAAAAAGCCGTAACAACACGCGTGAAAAAATATCGTATTTTTTCACGTGTGTTTGTTATCTCCAATTAGCTGCTGACACGTCACTTGCCTTTCGCGCCACTCGATCAGGTTGATGAATGAACGGCGAAGCCTTCACTATTCTCAATCCAAGGTCGTTTGTCGAAATGTTTCGGATTACGACTTCTAAAACACTTAAAAAATCCGTATCGCTTACAGACAGTGACGTTCAAACTTTCCTATAAGTTGAAGAAAACCAAAATAGGGATAGAAAAACCGAAAGTTACGTTGTCAGTGGCTTTGGTAATATCATTTCTCGAGGCTGAGAGCGAAAATTGAGAACAACTGGAAGATTTGCTACAGGCCGATTCTGGCCGTGTACCTGAAAGATTTCCTCTGTCGGTAAGGACGAAGTCAATAACTGAGAATTTTGTGTATGGAAAATTACGCCCATTGTTTGTTTTCATAGTGTTTCAACGCATTTTTTCATCTTGAGCCTTAGCGCCAACGCACTTTTCGATTATTACTCGGGGATTGTCGATCCTTCTATTTTCATTCATTAATAAGTTGACTTTTCCTGTCAGTAAAGGGCTTTTGTGTTTATATGATAAAAAAGATATGGAATTTCTCTTCTCGTGTTCAACTCCACATCTCACTCGTTCGCTGCGCTTACTCGTGAGCTATCGAGTGAAACACTCGAAGAGAAATTCCATATCCACGCTCGCCCATTTATTATTCTCTATTTATCGTTTGAAGTGGGACATATTTGATCGGTTCGCACATATCATGTAATGAGTGAACTCGTCTTCATTTTTTTTTTCACCCTCCAAAATGGCGACACTCATTCACATGGATAAAGGTTTTATCACCACACCATTTCCCTTTTTACGCTGCTGCGATACGCACTGAAGCTATACGTTCGAGCAGTCAGAGATAGAAATGATCTTTTTTCGCGGACTGATGACCAATTCGACACACATACCAAAACACGAGAATTTGTGTGTAATGGACACAAAACGGAGACGAGTTCGGGATGAAAACTCGGGAAACTGGTATTGTACAATAGCAAAACTTAGAACTTGTTGCCGGGATACATAGCAAGGCATGTAGTGCTTGTGAACAAGTAAAAAACGGAAAATGTATTCGCATCTCGACAGATCTTTGACTCCTTTACATACAAAAAAGTGTCGCAAAATGCAACTTAAAAAAAATTAATTTGCAAAAGCGGACCGAGTGCGGGAGCAAATATGACGACATTTTGCACAGAATCAGACTGATGTTGGAATTTATCGATCGGATATGAGTTAAGGTGTGAAACGCTTAATTACAAGTACAAAACTGATATTGAATTCGCATTTTCCGAGTACTTTGACTCATTTGCATTCTTTGCTTTGGAAAGAACAGCGCCTGCGATCAAATTCGCGGTAAATAAAGGCATAATTAAACATGCGCGATACCTGACCAACCAGAACGTGCAGAACTTCACAACTGAGTGACCTCACAATCGCTAATTGTAACTTAAAGAGCCAGTCTTAAACACAAAGTGGCTTCCGCGCCGAAAGATAATAGTCCTTTGCTTGGTAATGCCAACATGGCTGAGCAGTCCACTTCAGAGAATGTCTCCGATCCGAGAGCGGAAGGTAAAGTAGAAATCGAAAACGTTCATGTAAGCGAGAAACAAAAAATAAGGGAATCTACTGTTAATGAAAATATACCAGAAATCGATATAGATGACATTGAAGCTGATCAAGCACATTCAACTGACTGCAATGACTACGATGACTTTATTGGAGAAATTATTATTTCAGTAAGGAGTGAGCTCGCTGAGGCTGAGAAAGAGCCAGAGAGGTGCTGCAATGATAGAAAATTCTCCACACGTAGCCAAGACAGCTCGACCTGCAAAGAAGGACGGCGCAGCGAAATGAAAGATCAAAGCTCTCAGGCCAGTTCTTTGCCAGAAGAAGCTGTAAGCGACGAAGTCAAAATACTGAAGGATAAGCTAGCTATTAATAAGAAAGACACTGAAACTTTGCGGAAATTACTGGAAGACGTACGAACAGACTATGAAGAATTACAGAAAAGTTTCGATAAACGCACTAGTGAGACAAAAAGTGAGGAAGGCGAAGTGCCGATGAAAGAGAACAATGAAATGAGAAAGCGGAAAGCTGAGAAAAAACGATCGAAAAAGGTTTATAAGGTTTCATCTTCAGATGAGATAACGGAGTGGAGATTTTCAGATAGTAAGACAACGAGTTTTACTAAAGAATCTTCAAGTGCTCTTCAAGTAATTGACAGTGGCGAAATAGCATGCCCCTGTCTTGAGAAAAGTATTCGTAAAATCGTAAAGGATATCAGAGAAGAATTCAAAGACACCATTCTGGACTTCAAACGATGCTTTGAGGAACAGTGCACAAGCATCGGTGAAGAATTAGCCACGTTAAAACATGAATACTTGAGCGCTGTGGAAGGAAGGGATTCTGAAATTATCGGCTTTGAAAAAATCATCAAAGGCTTGCAGTCACGATTCCTGGAAGAAGACAAAGAGTTGATAACGTTCAGATCGGTTACTGCATCTGTTTTGGAAGAGAAGCAGAAATTATACGACGATATTCGTTTGCTGAAAGATGAACTCTTGCGAAAAAAATTCGAAAAGGAAGCTAGCCAAGCAGAGTTAGGGAAAATGAAACAAGGTTTAAAGAAATATTGCACCGCTGAAGAATATGAAGATTTGCAGAAGTTAAATTTTCAATTTGATGGAGACTGTGGAAGTAGAGGAATCGATGGCTGCGGTCAATCTTCTGAGAATATGAAGGAGTATGATAATGTCGGTGAACTTCAAAACAAAATGGAACAGTTCCACCCAGTTTTGAAAAAAGCTAAGCAGGAAATTGCAAGGCTAAAAGAAGAAAGAACGGAGGCTCAGAATCGTTTGGAAGAAAAGATTTCCGAAGCGGTTAAATTAGAGAGTTATTTTAACAAACAGTTGAGCGAATCTGTAATGGAACTGAAGCGAAAGGAAAGAACAATTACCGAACTGAAAGAACAGTTGTCCAGTGCAGAGCTGAAAAATTATCAACTAAACAGTAAAATAAATCAGCTGGAGAAAGAGAAGGAAGATTTGAATAAAAAGTATATGCAAGAGTTGGAAGAAGTTAAAGGTGAGTTGAGGCCATTCAGCAAGAACCGTCAACTAAACAAAAAGAGGGGCGAACAATTACAAAATGGGAATGACTTGCCTAACGATGATTACATTGGACCGAAAAATCAACTTGAAGACAAAGAAGCGAAAATGCTTGCAAGAACGACAGAGACTGAAGAATATTTATTTGACGAAGACTACCAGAAACGATTTCTTCAGGTAAGAAAAAACTGTAAATCTGTAAAAGTAAATCTGAGTCCAGGGCTGTAGGACTGTTTGCTTTAAAAGCAATGCCCAAAGTTTGAAAATCACAGGAATGAAATGAAAGGGAGAAAATGGAGGGAAGGATAGGAACTAAAGAGGAATAGTATTTTAGACCCAACTGGCGGGCTACCTTACCAGGCTCAGGAAAAATAAGGAGGCGAAGCGTGCAATCCGCAGCGGTTTCCTTGGCAACTGCCTTCACTCGCTGTTCTACTCGATAGTTTTCATTGACTGAAGGCCTTAAAAAGGTTTGTTTAGGTAGCGTCAGGGATTTTTAATGATGCAAGCTGTTTGAACGCAAAAAATTCTTTGTTAGTACATCACAAACGAGCTAGCGAAATACAAACAAAAAACAAACGTACAATAATGTAGAAAATCTCTTTCGTTTTTAAATTTTAAGTTACGATTTTTCTCTTTCTCTCCCCACTTTGTATTCTTTTTGTATTCACGCGCGGCGTGCGTGATTTCCCAAATTAGCTGAGCACGTCCGATAACTTTAACCTTGACATTGGAAAACTGTCATGGACATTTTTCACGTAGTTTTAGTTTGTTTTCACGGAGTTTTACTCAGTTGTTTGTTCGCGTAATTTGTTACGCCTTTGTTTGGAATTTTAAGAGGTTTCGGAGATTTTATTTCAGCCAGATGTTGTGGTTTATTTAAAAAGTTTAATACATATTTTCTACGGAGTTTGAACTCTAGCCTCTTTTTTCGTAAATGGAGTTTTTACAAATAACTACAACGACCAAAAATTTGGTTAAATCTCCCACGTGATACCGTTGGCTTCCGGACCTTTCTCTCGTCAGGAGAAGTCTTTGCTTAAGAAAGATCTTGAGGCTGAAAAGAGAAAAAATGAATTGTGCCTGTTGGAAATAGAAAAACTTCAGAGAGAACTCGATCAGTGGAAGGAAATCGTCCGAGATGATATGGATGCGGGCGTAGGATTCCTTCGGATCGAAAATGAAGATTTGAAAGATGAGTTACAAGAGAATCAGTAAGTTTGACAGAATTATTTCTGTATCATGTTTTTTTTAAAGATGTAGCTTAGAAAATGTTTTGGGATTTACAAGATCCACATCGCCTTCGGCAAATAATGACGGAGCACGACGGGGAAAGAATGGTCGTATGATAATCAGTGGAAATTTGCCGCCGGCGTGGCTTAAAGTACTCCCGCTGGTTTAGACTAGAAACATACCCCTTTGATTAGATTTGAAGGCATCACTTATTTGTTCGTCACTGTCGAGCCAAAGGGAACTTAAGCGATCAGGACGGCAACGCCGAGGAAGACGTCAATAAAAAAATGAGTTTACGTTTTTGGCTAGAATTTCGCGAATGTCCAAATATGTTTAGCGTCTTTTATGGCGCCACACCTCAACTTTAGCATAACATATGTGAGCAGCGTTGAGTTTCAAATGGAATCTTTAATGATTTGTTGTCAGGGTTTTCCGTTCTCAAACCATGTAAATTTTGTATTGTTATATAAAACACTCGTGCTGACCTACTTTTTTTCCCCATTAGAAAGCACTTCAAATTTCCTAGCGATAGAAGTAACTTCGCAAGCAAGACTGTCAAGAACGACCTCTGACATTTTTTTTAAGCTTTACGTACACAATCCAGTCAACAGAAATATTGCAATATGTCTTGATTTACGCTGGATTTTAACTCTATGATTTCTCTTGCACATCCAGGATATTCATTAAAGAGTTGATGTCAAAGAAAAAGCGACATACCCAAATAATTAAGAAGTTGCGGGCAGAAAATGTCATGTTGAAGGTTTGTTTTATCTATTCCCAAAAAGACTACATCATGTTCCTCGTTATGGGAATGTTCCATTCTAACCACCACCCCTCCCTAATTTCCTTTTGGGATAGCTTTTTGGTAAAAAGGCTCGTATTTTTCTCGTGAGAAACCGACAAAAATTGGACCAAGAAGAAGCAATTTCGAAAAGATGTTTAACGATAAAGAATGACAATCAAGTATTTTTAAAAAGATTATAATACATTTAAATCAAACCCCTTAACTCAATTAAGATTACGGCCTTTCCCCCAACTCTCTCGATTTCATTTTTTGAAGAAGCCGACTGAACATTGAGGAACGTTTCCCTTTTTATAGGATGGGGGGGGGGGGGG